AATGCAAGTATTTCCCATCCTAAGATACAGTTCAAAGGATCAGTCTGATGCCATCCGTAACTGATTGCATAACATACCTCAACGTGGAGAAGTGAACAAATAGAATTTTTGAAAGAATGTTATTAAAGAGAATTTTGTGTCATCTTTTTACATAAAACATTTATTGAGGTTGCTGAGTGTATGTGACAGATGGTGCTCTTATGTCACATCCTGTCTTTCATTTTGTTTTGCAACATGCAAGTCTTCCATGCATGCATAATTGCATTACAAGATTGTAGGGTGGGTTTTTTTTGTGTACTCACTGAAACATAAAGGAATAATCCAATGTGAGATCTTTAATAGGGGGTTGTGCTAGCAGTGCTGTTAAGCTGTTTGCTTTCATGTTAAGTGCTGGCTGACTAGTATGCTTTATGACTTGCCTTCTTAAGGTAAACTTCAGGTGTAAAGGGAAAAGTGAGAAGTTGTTATTTCATCAATCTGCTGAATGCATTCAAGTAACTAGACAGATGATATTCACTACATAATAAAGTTTTTTGCTCCACATTCTAAAGCATATAAAGTGAGTACTTCCCTCACAATGGAAGAATGCAGGTATAGTTGAACTTTCCAGCTTCAGTACTATTCAGATGCCAATGCCTTAACATTTTATAATGTCAGTTAAGTATCTTTATGATTCAAAAATTATAATGAAGAAAAATATGTCTTAATTTTTATTATATGTGGCATTTCTTTCCCTCTTTCAGTTAACTGGAGAGTGAACTTGAGCCTGAATTCATTAGAATATTGCCAACCTGTTTTATTTATATGGCATCCCAAATAGCTGCTTCTGTCTCTTTTATGTCTGGACTGGTGGATGGAACATACTGGACTTCGCTGTTGCCCTTGGCTCACATTGAGAAAATCCATCCATCGTAGTGCTTTTTTAACTGAGTGTTTTGCAAGGAATGTAGAGATTATTTTACAAATTGGGAAACTAGAAACATATGTGAGACATACAGAATATGCAAAGCCAACAAGGTGATAATGTTGTTGGAATTTTTGACTTGAGTCCTATCCCACTTCTAATTATTTTGACTGGTGGCGCTTGATGCTTCATTGTTGTCTGTATGTATGCGTTCTTCCCTTTAAATACAGTTAACTTAAATGAAGGTAGAGAGGACATCTTCCCTCATAATGCAAAAAGGAGAGAGACTTAAAGCAAGACTCAGTGCATTGTCAGTCACTGAGACCTTTACTAGCTTTAATGCTATTGTAGATGCATAAACTCATTTATACCTTCTTTTGTTGGCTTTTGAACACAGTTTTCAAAAATGTAATTGACTGAAGAGCTGTCCATTGCTGCCCTGGCTTGTGTAGATCAAGGCAATTCATGGTCAGGGTTGTCGGCTGACCATTGACACGTTGTCGGTTGATTAAATAAATGCTGAATATGACTGAATCTGGTCTGGTTTTGCAGTGAAGTCCTAGACATCATGGTTGGTTCTTTAGAACATTCATCAAGTAAAATTGTAAACTATTCTTGTGTGTATTCTGTGCTTTTGGAACTTATTTAATCCTAACCTTCCAGCATTATACTGTGTAATATTTCAGTGGTATTTGCCATTTCTTGCAGCATCAATGTGATTTGACTCTGACACAGCCTAACTGATGTCTGATTGTAAGATCAATCAACCATTGCGGTATTGGAAGCATAAAGGCAACTGTACCGGTAATGCCTGACAAGCGAAATGTGCCAACTTGCCAGGATAGTTATACTGCTTGTGCTGTCTGACGAGCAAAAGTACATCAGAAACCAGGCCGTTTTTTTGCCTTTAGTAGCACAAAGGTGATGTGAATAAAATTACAGCCTCAGGCCAAAACCCGTCTAAAAGAACTCAGAGGGGTGCTTGTATCAACTTCTTTATCACATGTATAGCTGCAAATGTAAAATGCACTGTATAATAGATGGTGGCTGTCAAACAAGTAATAGGATGTGTGATGAGACAAAACGAGTAGCACGTGACTTACTTCATGCATCAGCCTTCTACTTGATTTCTTTTAGTTACAGTGTACGTTACGTAGTTTGAAATGATCAGAGCTGAAGAATGTAATAGTTCTTTTTTAGCTTGGAGCATGGCTTTGTAAGCCACAGCATGCCTTTTCATTATGTTAAATACAGTTGGTTATGAGGAACAGGCCGCTGAAAGGTCTACCACTTGTTCATATGGCACCTCATAACGGTATGCACTTCATGCAGGGTTGTTGTTGGGCACTTCATGCAGGTTTGTTGTTGGGCAAACTAATTTTTAATTGGTGTCACAAGTAATTCGTGCTTTCTGCCTAGTTTAAAAACTGTGTACCAAACCATTCCTAGTGCAGTTACTTTTGCTCTGCAAGAGCCACCCTTTGACAACGTGCTAATACACACAGAGGTGATAAGCTGTGGTTTGTAACAGCCTTGTAACAAACTTGTCTGTAGCACTTTGAATTTCTGTTTATTAGGACTCAAAGTTTGTTAACTCATTGGCTGTTAATTAACATAGTACTTGTTAGGAGTTAAAGATCAGCTAATGAAAACTTATACTGAGGTGTCAACCATATTAAAATTCAATTATAGTCTGAACCTTGAGACTTTCAGCATTATGTGTTACATATCTTCAGCTGACAGATCTTCTGCTTTGATTGAATAAATCTTGAATAATTTTCAGGTTCTCTTAAATGATTTGGAATACTTTATTTTCTGTTTCCTGTTATTCTTTCATGCCAAAATACTGATACATGAGGAAGACTACTTTTTTTCCCCTTTATATGAATGCTTTTTTTTCTGTTGTGTATTTTGATGATTCAGTATTTGCAAGAGCATCATTAATTCCTTGAACAGTTATGAGACAAGTATGGTGCCATCCAGTTTTTGGTTGGTCAAATTTCTAGTTGTGGAAAGTTAATTTGCTACCATGTGATCATTTTTTGACTGGCTTTCTGAAATCAGAGTTCTGTGGCCTAGCAGCTGGATGTTTGTATCACAAAATTTTGGTCTATTTGTTTCTAATTATCAGCTAGATTCTTAGGCTTATCGAAAGGGCCAGGCCAGAAAGAGACTGCGGAGCCTTCTGGCTGTTGGTGACGGGTTCCCTGTGCTGCAAACAGCACTTTAGTTCCTGGGTACCAGTCTGTAACATACCAGCATCTCGGGGGGTGAGGGGGAAGTGTGTTCACATGGTTGTCAGTAGTTTTACCTGCTTGATGGGAAATCATGTAGTCCTGCGATTTTTTTTTTTTAGACAGTTTAATAAGAGAAAATAATAATAATAGTAATAATGAGAATGATAACAGAATATACAAAACGAATGATGCACAATGCAATTGCTCACCACCCGCTGACCGATGCCCAGCCCGTCCCGAGCCGCGATCAGTCCCCGAGCAGTGAGCAGTCTCCCCGCGACCGACCGACTGACTAACCCCCCCGAGCATGACGTTATATGGTATGGAATAGCTCTTTGGACAGTTTGGGTTAGCTGTCCTAGTTGTGCTGTACTCCCAGCTTGTTATGCACCTGGCCGAGCAGGGGAAGCTCAAAGAAGTCCTTGAGTAGTCTGAGCACTACTTGGCAACAACTAAAACGATCAGTGTGTTATCAACATTCTTCTGGTACTAAATCCAAAACACAGCACTATGCTAGCTACTATGGAGAAAATTAACTCTATCCCAGCTGAAACCAGGACAAGAAAGAATCAATGTAGAAGGCTTTTTTCTTTTCTTTTTTTTTTTTTTTCAAATTTAGGCAAATGAATATGGCTTTGTGGCGACCAGAACTTCGGATGGCGTACTTTTTGGAAAGAACATACATTTTAACTACCTGTGCAGCATAATTATAACAATTCTGGGCCAAAGGCCATTGCCACAAACCCAATAGGTAGCAAGGAATCAGCCAGCACTGTGTAGAAAACAATTACCAGTGCAGCGACAGCCTGTATTGAAGGACCGTAACAGTAGTGCGGTGTGATAAAATAGGGTGGTGTTGGGGTTGTTCGGTTTGGTGGTTTTTTTTTTCCTCTCCACTCAGGTCTTTAGAGCTTTCTGATGCTTCCACCTTCCTTAGATGTGCATCTCTAGATGTGAAGCCTTTTGGCCCCCTGTGCATCTGCCTTAACAGGGAACAGCAGACGGAGTCTGTCAGGTCAGAGCAGAAGCAAGAGGCCTGATTCTTCCACAGAGTAGCTAGCTTTCTAAGCTAATTTTCAAGTCCTTAATGGTGTTTGTTAACAATACTTGATCTTTTGGTTGTCCGTTTTTAATGGTAAAAATACATAGGCAGTTTTATGATATCCTGCTGTCATAAGAAAGAATAATGTAACGATTTCTTTATGTGGATAGGAAAGGGTTTTCCCCCCATTTCTTCCTTTATTATTCTTGTTCATAAGCTTCACAGGTGTGGAGGGAATTGTAAGACGTCTAAGGAGGTGATAATAAAAGTGCAGGTGTGCTGGATATGATTTCTTAGCCTGTGTGATAATGTATCATTGAACCACAGCTCCAATCAGCTAGGCTGTTCAGAAGCTTAATTAGATCTCTTACCCACAGACATCAGAGTAAGTCAATGTGGCATTGTTACTTCCCCATAGAGTTTGAGAATGATGAGAATAAATCCTGTGGCAGTGAGGTAGAGGTTCCTTTGCTGCAGTTACGTCAGGAGGCCATATGGGGAAGGAAAGGAAGGGGTAAGAGGAGAGAAGTCCCTAGAAAATGTAAGTCATGAAGCAGCTGTCTTTGTGTGAAGGAGGAAATATGTGAAATCCAGGCCTAGAGAGTGGAAGAAAGCTCTGACTTTACATATACTCCCTCTTCCCCTATACATATCTTCCAATTGATTATTTTCTTCACTTCCTGGTTTTTCTCTTGAAAGAATAGTAGGGTCCCTTGGTGAATGAATTGGGTCAGCATGCAAAGTGTTCTTTGTAAGTATGCAAAGTATTCTTTTTCATATTAGTCTTAACGTGTGTTTTCATTTTGTTGTTTTTCAGCTGTATCTTGTTGGAGGGTCTTTTGGACTCCGTGAATTTGCTCAAATAAGATATGATGTCCACAAACTACGTGGCAAGGTAGTTGAAATGGTTTTCTTTACTTTTACTTTTAATTTAATTTTGTGTGTGTACTGTGTTCTAAAGGACTGTTAGGACAAGCAAACTATTGGTATTGGGATTTTGCCTTTCACCACTGGGCCCTGGGCTACAGCTGAGGTTCTTAGCAGTGTGTAGTGTAGATAACAATAAAGGAGCTGACATGATGATGAATCCTTTTACTGTTTGTGAAATGGATCAATGTAAGTAAAAGAAAAAATTTTGTTCCTTTGGTTGATTGTAAGTGGCAGTTCTGAATCCTATGAAAGAAATCTAGCCCATCTAGAAGGAGGTTATTGTAAAGATACTGTATCTGATTTAGACTAAGAAAACTGATGCTTTAAAAGGTTCTGTTTTCAAAGAATACTAGCAATGAGTATATAGAATCATAGAATGTTTTGGGTTGGAAGGGACCCCTAGAGGTCATCTAGTCCAACCCCCCTGCAGTGAGCAGGGACACTGCTAACTTGATCGGGTTGCTCAGAGCCCCATCGAACCTGGTCTTGAATGTTTCCAGGGATGGGGCCTTCGCTACCTCTCTGGGCAACCTGTCCCAGTGTTTTCCATATAATGTTAGATCATTTTCAGGACTTGGCTTTGTGTTGACTGAGATAAGCAGATACCTTAAAGAACATGCTGTTCTTTAAGCTCTGTGAAAGAAACAGGAGCTGGTCTTTACTCAGTATGTCGGAATGGGCGACATACATATATGGAAGAAGCCTTTCTTTAAACAAACTGGAAACCTCTTGAATGAGGGAAATAGCTTGCTTACTAGTGCTACTTACACCTCCAAGGGTAACACTAGTTCCAAACTGTATAGGAAATGTTCTGAAAGGAGCATGTTAGTTCAGCAGAAAGTAATATTGGCTTGCTTTCCCTAACTTCGTAATATGCAGAGAAGCATATTGCAATGCAGAGAGGCTTTCTGGTCTCAGTACTGCTGACTTGTAGGTGGCATGAAGCTCTTTTTAAGACTATATGGCACTATAAAAAATATTTTTGTAAAACTCTGGACACTGTGACTTTGGTCAAATCCTGGAGATCCTGAGCTGTTGAGAGTTCGGAGACCCCCTTGTTTTGTCTTAGACTCTTATTGTGGGCCATCTAAATTACTTTAATCATTCCTCCTTGTTCTTTGTGTTGCATACCTCGCTGCAGCCTTTGAAGCACCATGTGGCCCACTCCTGCTGAGTCCCCTATTTGACATAGCCCATAGGCAAGGGAGAGTAATATTACAAATCTTTTCTCCAGTGCGGTCTTCTGGGTAGTTATTTTCTATCAGTCCTGGGCTTTTAGGACCAGCTGGAGCCTTTATGTTTTTTTCCCAACCAGATGGGGATCACAACAGGGGCAAGAATTTGCATGTTGCGTTTCTGTCAGTTTTTTGGTCAGTCATACTTGGTGAATTACATTTGGCCTCCATGATCTCCACTGTGACTGCAGCCCAGGGAAAAAACCCGGTAATAGTTGTGCTGGTTTGGACCTATGAGGCTCCTTGTCCCAGCATTTATAATCAAGTGAAGCATCATCGAATTAGACAGTAGTACATGAAAGCTCTGAGGGGAAGCTACTGCACCCTGGAGTTTTTAAGCTCTGAAAAGCTAAAAGAGGACATCTGGATTCTGCTCTAACCAGTATTACTTAAGGCTGCAGCATCTCTCTTGTGTTTTCTTTTTCTTTTTATTATGATTTTGTTTAGGAATAGATGAAAATTAAATAAAAAACAATGCAGTATTGGCTGAGAACTAGCAACACCAACTTTGAGGTCATTCGTAGACAGACAAATCAAAGCAATGTGTTCCATTAGTTTCTGTTTCTACATCCATAAAAATAGAACCATTCTAATTCATTAAATAAGACATCAAAAGAGATTAGAGTGTATTTTAACTGATAAACCTAGTTTGAAATATACATGGAATTCAGGAAAAGAACATTAATATAAAAACATTTATTAAAAATCCTGATGGTCGTAACATCTTTTTAATTTTTCACTGGTTAAAATGGTTTTGTGTTGGAGTAGAATATGCTTTTCTTCTTAATTTGTTCAGGATAGCTAAATCAGTCATATTCCTTCAGCACACTGAATGTTTATGGTTTTGTGTTGGAGTAGAATATGCTTTTCTTAATTGGTTCAGGATAGCTAAATCAGTCATATTCCCTCAGCACACTGAATGTTCTGCATTTGAAGCGAACTTACACTGAGACTCTTATTGGTGTAAATGCCTGTTTAGGCTAGTCAGAATTCTCCTAAAACTAATCAAGGATTTCTCCATTATCTATTGTTGCCAAAATGTCCATTAATGGAGACATCATTAGGTTAGGTAATTGTTTTTTTTCTGGGAAGAATTTATGCAAATCAAAATTGGTTATAGAAAATCAGGTATGCTTACGGGAAAATCATGTTCAATTAATGGAGAAGAAATGAGTAGGTTTGTATAGTCATCGTTCCAAATGCCTTTATTCTCAAATGGAAAGCTAGGCTTTCTTTGTCTTTCTTCTCATTGTGCATGTAATTGAATAGAGATGCTTATTTAAGGAGGTTTTTTACAGAATATGTGATTTCTATTAAACATACAGAAAATGTTTCCATGTAAGTATATTATAATAAATTATTTTTCTTTACCGTGTGCCCATTGTTGTCATTCAAGGCATGGTAGAGACTTGCTGATTCAGATCTAATTTTGGATATAAGAACCTTGGACATGTGGAATGGTCTGTACTATTGGCTGATAGCTACTGTACGGGGTTGAAGAGAAGCAACATATTAACTACCTGGGAAAATCTAGGCTTTTAGGCCATCAGCAAATCATTTAGACTAATAAAATAGAGTTTGTAAGCTCCAAAACTGCTTTATCGAAGTATTATTGCGAGGCAGGTTCTCAGAGTATGGGGAGGGATAGGACTGAGCAAGTTCCTGCAGGGTAGCATGCAGCAGAAGCACTCTTAGGACAGCTAGGATCTCTAGGTCACTTTGTGAGGAAACAAAGCATCAATTAGTCTTTGAAGGCTGCAAATAGTTCGGCTGTGGATTATGTACGACAGTGTTACTATACTGACCTCTTTAGTGTTACGAACTGTGGAGATCCTGTTCACTTTTACTTTGTCCTATGCAAAGTGAGTGCACCCCAAAAGCAGAATGCTAAGAAACGAGAATAGTAGTGTTTTCTGTCTTACTGAGGCAGAAAGTAAGGGCAGTGAAGAGTCAAAATGACAGAAGTTCAATCTTTTGAGTTTTACCCTTGCATCAGCTGTTGTGCAGTAAAATATGTATGACCATTGAGTGGCACACCAGAGTTAAACTTGAATTGAAAATGAAAATACATGACCTGTTCTTTCAGAACGCCATCATCTATGAGCAATAGAATAGTAAGCCTGGAAAAGGTATAAAAGGAGTGATTGTGGTGGTGTGAAGTATACTCATTAGAAAGCGTGCTAGGAGCGTAAAGCTTTCTTTATGCAGGCAGAGTAGATTGCCTTTAAAATTTCTGTAAAGGGATTGGCAGTGTTCAGAGCTCCTTAGCTAATCTTTTTGACCAATTGACTGGCATGTAATTACCCATGAGACACCGCTTATAGACGCCTGCAAGGTGTCAGTGTTGCCATTCTCAATTCTCATTTATTGCATTTACTTGGTGTCTTGAAGTCCTATCTCATAAAATTATATGACTGTGAGGATCTCAGCCTTCAATTTATAATCCTAGACCTCGGAGTTGGGAAGAAAAGCACATCTGGTGCATAGGGGATTATCTTGGAAGCTTTGCTGTCCTTTGAAAAAGAAAAGAATGAAGAGTGGAAGAAAAAAGAAGGCTAATATGGTGGCTTATGACACTGACATTTTACTGGTTTACAGCTGTTCTCATAATTGGGCTTGATAGTGATTTAAGTCTGTTGACTGTCTGTTGGTTATACTCAGTATTACAGTGTTAGAATGTTGTTGGTGGGTCCCTGGTGTTGTACTTTAATATCGTGTATTGAAGCTTACGAGTGGGTGTCAGGGGACCCACGGCAGCATGTGATTTAAATATCTTCCACTGATCTCATTGGAAATGTTATTTCCATCTTGTTCAGGTTCTTGCTTCAGTTCCCTCCTCTACCATGGAGCTCCTCTCTGCCTATGAGCAAGTCGCTGAAGTTTAGTGAGTGTCACTTTCTCAGTCTGTAGAAGGGAGATGATTAATGCTGCTCTACTTTACATTGGGATCAGGAAAGTTAATTAATTCAAACAGAAGGAATTATTTAAATTCAAATGAGTATTTAAAAAAATATTTCCACAGGTGAGATCCATTAATTCAAGTGTTTTGGGTCAAGGTGAAATAGTTTAGGAGGAGACAGGAGCTGAGAACTGACCAGTTTCCATGAGGCCGTTATATCAGGGGATTTGCCTCAGGAAGGTCCAGGAAATCAGTCCAGCATTTTCTCATTATTATAAGTGGATAGTCAGGAAGCGGGTGGTATCTGCCTGTTAGAGTGCTTGTGTGTCTCTGTCGAAACATTACTCTGGTCTACAGACATACTGCGGTTTGTTTTAAACCATTGAGTTGAGATGGTGATGACTGCAGCAGCACAGTGTTTGAATGAGGTTGCAACATATGCCTCAAAAGGGGAGTAAATTTGCAAGTGACTGGACAAGACTATGCAGTGTTGCTGGCTGGCACATTCATGTTGCTGTCATTATGTAGCTCAGGTACGTCTACAGGAGTTGCACGCATAGGCATGACCTGAAGTATTACGACTATAATTGTCTGTTGGTTATTGCCTCTATTTTACCTGCTTATGAACTCAACCTGGATAGGATTTCTGTACCCCAGCAGAAGTTTGGTTTGGTTTTTTTTTTTTTTTTGGTTCGTTGTGGGTTTTGGTTGGTTTGTTTGTTTGTGGGTTTTTTTTTCCCCCTCCCCCAAAAGAAGCGTGACAGAATTAAATGTAATTTAAAAGGTTACTGTAAAGTTAGTATGGTTTCTGAACAATCTGTCATGTTTCTG